GAGAGGGTTCGAAACCATTCGACATGGTTAAATCTCCAGTATTCTTACCGGTTAAGGATACTTCAAGAATTACTAGGTTACAGGTGTTTCCATCTACAACCTACCGGTAAAAAAAAAAACCCAGTCGGGTATGGGCACAACAGAACTTCGAAAGTTCTACATCCATCGAAAGGCAAGGCAGTTGACCGGTCAAACCATGGAGTGGGAATTCACTGGTCAAATAAACTGTACTTTATCAAAGAATTTGTGAAGCTATCCAAAAGGCCAAAGTAAAGTTCGGCCGGTCAAACGTTCGAAAAGCAAAAATTGAAGTTTAACCGGTCAAAGTTACTCGGGCTGATCCTTGAAATGAAGTGACCAGAGAGAACTTTGAAGTTATACCGGTCGAACGCAATAGTGGTTGATTACTGTACCGGTCGAATATCCTATGATGGCGTTCTAAGAAGCAAGAGCAAAGTATCAATCAAGAAGCAAGTAGATATGGAAGCTAAACCGGTATGGAAATTAAGCATTGCATTAAAGCAGAACAAAAAAGTTAAGTGTTTTATAGCTACATCGGGCATTCCCGGGGAAATGAGTTCAAAGTTTTACAAGATAGTTCAACCGGGCGCAGCCGGGGAGATTAGTCAAGGGGGAAGGGGGCAGTCGGCTCTTCTTCCGGGATTGGAGTCAGGCCGTAGGATGCCGCGCTGAAGCTCGGGTCTCTTCTAAGCAGTACCCGGTGAGAGGCGATCCGGTCTTTCTTTTGACCGCTCTTGAATCCGAAGGATCCAATCGTGGTAATCATTTTCCTTCCTTCAGGCTCCCGGTACAGAAGCCTGAAGGACTCCATCGCGGTCTCCGGCTTCGCCGTCATCACCCGGGCAGCAGCGGCCTTGTTCTCTTCAACCCAGGCGACAGCGCGCCCGGGGAAGGCTTCTTCCTTCTTCGCTGCTTCCCTCTTGGCCTCAGAGACTTCATCCATGAGCCGGCCATTCTCCTCCTTCAGCTGGGAGATCTCGGTCTTCATGGCCTCGGCTAGCCCAGATAGCCTGATCAGCTCATCAGCCTGGCTCTTCAAGATAAGGGCCATCTCTTCTTTCTCCCTCTTCAGCCGGTCGACTTCAGAAGGGGAACTCATCCCCAACCGATCCACTGTGTGCGGCCCAATCTCCCCCGCCTGCACAAAAACGAAACATACCGGTAAGTTTCTCAATAGAGGAAAAAGAAAATAAAGACCGGGATAGCGGCAGGACATACCTCCTTCAGCCTCAGCCCCAGATTAATGAAGGCCTCTTCAATGGTCTGGCCGGCCGGCTCAGGATTCGACCTTGCCCTCTTCTTGGCATAAGAAGGGTGCGTGGTGGCCACCTTCTTCATCCGTCGACCGGTCTTTTCCTTTTCCTTCCCCTTAGACCGGTTGTCTTGGGGCTCATCTTCATCGAGGATTTCCACGGTCTCTGGATTGACCGGGAAGGTCCTGGCAGTATTGGCTTGGGAGCCCCCGGTCTCCCCGGCTGGTTGGTCGTCAGGGATGGCGAACTCCTCGAACTCCATATCTGCAAGAGAAGCTAAAATCGTTAAGTACAAGGAGAGACACCGGTCAGCTACGAGACACAAGAAAAATGAGAAATACCTAGGTGGTTTTGGCCCTCAGCCTCTGCAGTGTTGCCCGGGGAGGGTACCCCGCGCCCCGCTGCTTCATGGGCCTGGGAGGTACCCTCACCACCCGACTCCACCCTCCAAACCCAGCTGCCATAATGGAAGATCCTCCCGGTGAAAGGATCCCCGCGCATAAGGACCTCAAGATTCGCTTCCAAGTCTGGGGAGGAAGCCGGTGCAGCATGCTCTTGGTCGAGGAGATGGTCGTTCCATTTCAGACCGGCCAAAGGAGTGACGAAGGGGGGAAACTCGATGAAAACAAACTTTTCCTTCCATCCCCGGTTACTCTGGAGGACTTCAGAAATGAACTTCCTACCGGTACGGGCTTTGAAGAATACAAAACCTTCGCAGCCAGATCCGCCCAGTAGGACTTCAAAGCAAAAGAGAAAAAGACGCAAAGAGGGGAAGATTTTCAAATGAGTACAGATATTTACAAAGGAATGGAGATACCGGTGGGCGTTAGGTGTTATTTGACCGGGCAAAATCCTAAACGCGTGGCATACTTCGGTTAGGAGGGGGCGAAGGGGAAAAACTATGCCCGCATCCAGTGATATGGTATGGAACCCTATCCTGTCCTCCCGGTGGGGTTCGACAATGTTGGGCCAGTTGGGTTCATAGAGGAGGGTATACCCATCCGGGAGCCTCCTACGAATTTTGTTCAAGGCGATTTTGGATACACGGGAAGGGATGTCAAGGACGTAGAAGGTGGGGAGCGGAAAGTAACCGGCAGCATGAAGTCGTTCCTCCCACGGATCCCGGGTTTCGTTTTCAGGGTCATAGGGGCCCGGTTCGTCATCGACCGGGTCATCCCTCCCCACGAACGTTTCACCGGGCATCTGATTAACAGGATGCGGGTCGGGAATAGAGGAGTGGGGAACCTGACCGGGCGTGGATTCAGGAGAAGAAGACCCGGTCGAGGAAGATGAGGTGGAGTCCTCAGAGGAGCAGTCCTCTGAGGACGAGATCCTATCGCTAAACGAAGACATGGCCGGGAAAGAAAAAAGAGAAGGAAGGGGGAACTTAC